ACCCATATTATAACTTTATATACAGGGTGTATCTGAAATGATGCACTAAACTTTAGAAGCATATTCTAGAGGTTAAAATAAGACTTTTTTCCTATGAACATGGGTCCGCAAATGAACCCTCCTCCGAGCTAGAAGCCCTTAAAGTTTGGGGAAAAAATTAAAAATTGACTGTATTTCTGAAAAAAAATGGCAGACCTTGGTTTTGACGTAACCTATTACCCTCTCTTGAGAGATAAATAAATTTGCGTTGCAAATGTTTGGTCAATTTCACACATTTTCAAATTTTAGCTCGGAGGGGGGTTCATTTGCGGACCCATGTTCCTAAGAAAAAAAGTCTTATTTTGACCTCTAGAATACGCTCCTAAAGTTTAGTGCATCATTTCAGATACACCCTGTATAGATGTATACCAAATTTTCACATATGTTAATATTTCCTTACAAATAAACCATAAGCATAAAGTAAGTCAGCCGTGTTAATGTAATAAAATTTTTTAAATTTATATTTGTATGTTAATAAGCTTAAATTTCATTAAAAAAACTAATTAGAAGTTAAAATTATTTATGTTGCAGCAATTTTTCTATTCGTCACTTCATTACTTATTTATTTAAAAATATCTTATCTTAAAAATTAATTATGCGTAACAATTATGCATAATTTAGATGACTTGAAATTGAGAATCGGGTTTCATAATAGATTTAAGAGACCTTATTAAGATTTATCATAAACAAGTGAATTATTGCGGCAATGTGCAAAACATCAATGTCCTTTTTTTTTAAATTAAAGTTTGTCCTCTTGCTGCAAAATTGGAAATATTATTAATATTATTAATATAATAATAACTACACTTAAACAATTAATAATGATATAAATAAAACAAGTTTAAAAGCACATACTATTCACTATTATAAAGTTGAAAAAATAATATAAATATAAATCTAAAGCAGCTTCCTTTCCAAATTATAATAGCTTTAACGACAATATTTGACAAGAACAATGGGTAATGAAAAAATTGCTGAAAATGAATTTCTTTTATTTATCCATTTAAATCAAACTATTTAAAACTTTTAGTTTTTTTATTTAAACTTTTTATTTAAAGATTTCTTAAGGCTATTGCTAATGCTCGTTTTGCTATTTTATTAGTATTAGGAAAGAATTTTGAAATTATATTATCGCTTTGCGTCATAAAGTATGAAATACTCTAAGAATTTTTAAACATCTTCGCGCGCGATAGTCAATGAGACGTTGATAACAGATGACCGTTTGCTAAGGAAAAACAATTATTTTTAGCATTTCTTTTTCAACAAAATATTAAATTACATATATCGTAAACAAAATCGTGTTTATAATTCAAAACGAAAGCATTTCTGAAATCATGTTCATATAAATGTTTCTCATCCGTATAATGAATAGAATATATTTTTAAAGTTTGGTCATTTATTTTTCGAACATCTTATATTTATATCGATACTCATCTGTATGCTTACATTAAACTAATTTCTAATGTGTCTCAAAAAATGTACCAAAAAATGTACAAAAAATGTAATGAAGTAAACTGTGTGTATTATTTACTGTCTACATTTTACTTATTGGAATTGGAATGCATGTCCATTCATAAGGCGAGAATTATTCCATTGATTATTTCGAATATAATCTTGCTGATGTTCAATGCGTCTAAAATATCTCTGAAAATACCGCCTTGCTACGTAACGGCCATTTCTAGTGCTACAAAATCAAAAATAGTATAAGAATGTAAAAAAATGTTCCATTAATGACAATACTTATAAAAAAATGAACAAAATTCTTTTTATATTGCAGTTATATAAGTTATTTTTTCAGTTATAAAATTAGTAAGAGTAAGAATATTATATAAATACGATATAAATTTTTTTTATTTGTTTCATAATTTAAGTTATTTCCTAAGTAAAGTCTTAATTATTTATGAATTATTTATATATAAATTAATTATTTATATTAGTATGTTAAGTAATACGTTAATTATATATATTGGTATATTAAATATTGGTTTACCATATCGAATTGTAAGCAGTTATCAGGCAAAACATTACCAGCCCAACACAAAGAAAAGCAAGTAATAACATTGGTATAATTATATTTATAATTATTTTGTTTAAATAATTAAGAAAATTTTGCATCATGAATACTTATTTAGAGATTTCCTACCTAAATTTTAATAAAATTCGAAATCGTAGTTCTTTTTATCCAACCTTTTCTATGTGACTTTTGTTATCAATATCGCGATGCTATATTAAACGCCTGCAAAAAAAAGCATTTATTTTATATTTATAACGAAATCTCGTTGAATTTGCCTGATATAATAGATTTTAAGCAAAACAGAAACGATAAACTCCATAACAATAAATTGTCAGATGGAGAGAGACATTCATGATAGCAAAAAATAATAAAAATGATATGATATATAAAAATAGTTTTAAAAAAAACAGTGATCGAGAACATTAAAGTGAAAAGGACAATACAATCTCGTTTTAATTAATAATGTGTATTATTTTGCCATATGTGTAATAAATTTTTGATTGGAGCGTAGATAATTGCCATATTACGTGTAATAACAAATTTATAAGATTTAATATATGTATATACATATTTAAAAATTAATAATAATTTTAATAAGTTATTTCAATAATTTTAATAATACACTTTCTTTTCTTTAAGATGTGTGTAAAATCAAGATGTAATCAAGGTGAGCAAATGACAAAATGTTTATATTTGTTATCGATGCTTTATAAGAGCATAACAAATATAATAGCCATAAAAGATCATAGCAAAAAGCTTTCAATGTTTCCTTATTTGTTCTAGACAAAGTCAAAATTTTTTTCGCGAATAAATCCATAATTCAAAAATAGGATTACCGCTCAGTAATTTTACAAACAATTATTACAATGAGAACTGTTAATTAATGTGACATAAATTAAAATTTTGATTGTATTCTGCAAAGATAATAAATTCTATTTTCTGACCAATCTTAATATAGTATTTGTTTGACAATATTTAAATATAATAAAGACAGTAATGTGAAACTGCGGTAACAAAATATTGCATACAAAATTAATGTAAATGACAATTAGTATATAAATTTCAAATGTCGATGTCGGCAAGTCTTCAAAACCTCAAGCACATAGTTGACGGTACAAAAAATCGCAATAAATCTATACTAGTAATTTTAATGTACCCAAATTCAGAACAAATATTAACATAATCGTAAAAAAACCAGATACTAACGAAAGACTTGGCATATGAAGCAATATACTAAAATGCTAATAATTAATTTTATAATATAAATTTGTTGCTTTTACCCGATCGTGGTCTAAATCGTTGTAGTCTACTTTTCCTATTCACGACACAATGACAAATATTGGCTTCTGAAAAATATAAACGAGATATTCTCTCTCTTTCTTTCTCTCTCTCTTGTAGAACACAAATTCGTCCACTCACCCCAATCTTATTGACTGTCAGTGTCGCATAAAGTTGTTTATTTTTAGACACTCATAAAATCGTGAACAAATGCTAAATTATAAATTATTCAAAAACAGATATAATATTCATGCACATCTAGCTGTCAAAAACTTATGTAATTATATAATATTAATGTCTAATCAACGCTATTTACAATTCTTTTAATTTTCATATGTAAAATATAAATGTCATTTGCAATATATATATAAAAAAATGTTTTTACTTTGTATAAATCCATTGCGTGCAACAGACTAACAATAAGACAAATATATTTATATTATATTTAATTATTAAAACAACTATCCAGATGTTTGGTTTAATAAAAATATCATTGAATGAATTATGCATGTCTGTGGCAGCCCGTGACGTAGACTTTAATTGAAGCAACAGCATTTTTTTTCCATGTATATATATATATATATATATCTTTCTCGCGAATAAATCAATAATTCAAAAGTAGGATTATTACTCAGTAATCTTACAAACAATTATTACAATGAGATCTGTTAATTAATGTGACATAAATCAAAATGTTAATTGTATTCTGCAAAGATAATCAATTTTATTCTCTAACCAATCTCGATATATATATTCGACAATATCTAAACATAAGAAAAAGAATAATATGAAACTGCAGTAACAAGATATTGCATATTCCAATTAATGTAAATGACAATTAATATATAAATTGCAAATGTCGATGTCGGCGAGTTTTCAAAATCTCAAGCATAAAGTCAATGGTACAGTAAAATCGCAATAAATCTATACTTGTGATTTTAACGTACCAAATTTAGAACAAATATTAAAATAATCACGAAGACAAGATACTAAAGATGTGGCATGTGAAGCAATATACTAAAATGCTAATAATTAATTCTATAATATTAATTTGTTGCTTTTACCAAATTGTGATACAAGTTGTTGTAGTTTACTTCTCCTATTCACGACACGACAATGATAAATGTTCTTCTGAAAAATATAAACGAGATATTCTTCTCTCTCTTTCTTTCTTTTTCTCTTATAAAACGTTAATTCGTCCACTCGTCTCAATCTCATTGGTTGTCAATGTCGCACAAAGTTATTTATCTTTAGACACCCATCAAATTGTAAACAAATGTTAAATTAGAAATTATTCAAAAATAGATGTAATATTTACGTACACCTAACTGATAATAATTTATATAATTGTATAATATTAATATCTAATCAACACTATTTAGGAATCTTTTAACTCGCATATATAAAACATAAATGTTATTTGTAATATATAATTTAAAAAATTTTTTTTTTTTTGTAAATCATAGCTTAAGTGCAACAGACTAACAGTAAGACGAACATATTTATATTATATTTAATTAATATAATTATGTGTGTGTGTGTGTGTGTGTGTGTGTGATATGTGATTGCTAAACACTAGAATTCAGCGTTATGTACCGCTTGTACGTAACCGTTCTCATTTGTAGAGCGCTCCTCCCAAAACTTCGTCGCGTGCTTAGCGAACGCAAACATTCAAGTTGTCTCTTCTCGCTGCGCGCTTATATTCACGCGAATTGATCGATCTTTTTCAATTAATTTCTCAATAATTATTACGAAAATCGTAAAATAGTGAAGAACTTTTCTCCTCGGTTTCACCTACTCTTTCTACACACGACGGGTGATGCGATTGACTCCGGACACACTGTATATATCATATTTTACCTGATATAGATAGTATAAAAGCAATACCAGCTTTAATACTAGCAATACTAGCTACGAACGAATATAACCAACTAATTGTTTGCGTTAAGATTCGCAATGATCTTATAATAAAATGCATCACGAATACTTGTTTAGGGATTTCCCACGTAAACTTCAATAAAATTCGAGAACGTATTTCTTTTTGTCCAACCTTTTCTATGCGACTTTTGCTATCAATATCGCGATGCTGCATTAAACGTCTGCAAAAAAAGACATTTATTTTATATTTATAACGAAACCTTGTTGTACTTGCCCGACAACACAAAGTTTAAGCAAAATAGAAACGATGAATTCTATAACAAAAAATTGTCAGATTGAAAATGACGTCTATGAAATAATATATAGTATGAGAAAAAAATAATTAAAATGGTAAGATATATAAAAATAGTAAAAAAAACTATAATCGAGAACATTAAGATAAAAAAGACGATACAATCTAGTTTTAATTAATAATTTGTATTATTTTGCCATTTGTATAATAAATTTTTAATTAGAGCGTAAATAATTGCCGCAATTAGGAGTAATAACATATTTATAAGAATATATATATATGTATATTGGAAAATTAATAATAATTTATACTCTATTTCCCATAAAATATGTATGAAATCACGCGAAAAACAAGATGTTTATATTTTTGTTACCTGATATTGCTTTATTAGATCATAACAACTATAGTAGCTATGAAAGAACATGGCAAAAGGCTTTCAAAATTTCTTTATTTATTCTCGACCTAGCCACAATTTTCCTCGCTAATAAATCAATAATTCAAAAATGGGATTAACGCTCGTACAAACATTATTACATTATTACATTATTACATTATTACAATGAGAA